TATTTGTGATTGTCATTTGTTCTGTTATGTGTTTGCCCTCTAGGGGGCGAGTGTGTTCTTGTTTGTGTGTTTCCTTATTAGGGACTGATCGCCGGCACCTGTGATTTCGTGGATGTTTGGCATAAGAAGTCCAAGCGGCCAAATCTGAGGGCGGGCGAGGTTCTCGGGCGGCTTTCTGTGCTCCTTCGTTGTGTTTCGTTTTGGTTCATGTGTTTGATTAGGGTTGGAGATGAACTGTGCAGGACAGTCGATTGCCAGGAGCAGGATTGTGCACCCCTGCCCTATATTTTTGTAGTTGCCGGGTAGGTTGGACCTGCCACTTTGTTATTGTGCCTTTTTTATTTTTGGTAGTTATTCGGAGTGGGGGTACGTTTCAGTTCAGTGAAAGTGCAGCTGATCTTGTAAATGGGATCGGTGTGCAGGTGGGCATGAGTTTAGCGTTTAAAGTTGCCCCGAGCCCCTAACGCCACTGAAGATGGTAAAAAAAAAAGTGTTATAGGGTAAATACAGTTGTGGGATCACTGTTATCGTTAGTTTTCATGTTGTGAAAGTCCATTTTGAATGTGGGGAGTGTGATTTGGTTTTATAACCGCATTTGTTTAGTTGAAGTGATTGTTAGTGCATGCATTAGTGTTTACACATTCATTTGTTATTCGAGTGCGGATAAAATTTGTCGAAATGGCTTCCGTGGTGGAAATTTTCCAGGAATCTCCATCTGAAGAACTGCTTTTATTGTATACCAAGCAGTTGTTGCAGATGGCTGAGTGTTATGAAATAGCAGAGATCGTTAAATTGCCCCATGCAGAGGATATCTTTTCTCAGTATGGAGATAGACTCGGTCGCCATGTCCGCACAGCTTACGAGCGAGCGCGCACACTCACTGCTGACTTGTCTTCGACAGTTTGAGGGCAAGAGTGCGGTCCCACTGAAACTTTTTCAGAGGCTCCTAGGGCATATGGCATCTGCAGCCACGGCAGTGCCACTCGGATTGCTTCAGCTGTGGCTTCGCGATCGAGTCCCGAGGTGGGCATGGCATCGCGGTACGTTCAGAGATCCAGTAACTCCGACCTGCTGTCAGACCTTCACCCCGTGGAGGAACCTCAGCTTTTTAGAGTTCCCCTAGAGCGAGTTTCCAGGCATGTTGTTGTCTCCACAGATGCCTCTGCCACCGGTTGGGGTGCCATGTGCAATGGACATGCAGCCGCGGGCTCCTGGACAGGACCCCAGCGCCTAAAGCATGTCAATTGCCTCGAGTTGCTGGCAGTACGCCTTGCCCTGCACCGCTTCCATGCATTGCTTAAGGGTCAACACGTACTAGTCCGTTCAGACAATACCGCGACAGTAGCGTACATCAACTATCAGGGTGGTCTATGCTCTCACCGGATGTCAGAAGTACCTGAGGTCCCTTCGTGCTATTTACATTCCAGGAGAGCGGAACCTTGCAGCCGACGAGCTGTCACGGCTCCGTCCAATCTCTGGCGAATGGCGACTCCATCCCCAGACGGTGCAGCAGATATGGGACCAGTTCGGGGACATACAGATAGATCTGTTTGCCTTCCACGACTCATCCCATTGCGCCCTGTACTACTGTAAAAAACACTGGTGCGGAGCTGGCTTACGCAAGTATGCGTTTCCCCCAGTGAGCCTTCTCGTATGGACTCTGTGCAAGATCAAGGAGGATGAGGAGCAGGTCATTTTGTTCGCCCCATTTTGGCCCACCAAGACCTGGTTCTCCAAACTGATACTTCTCGCGACAGCACCTCCTTGGCCAATTCCTCTGAGAAAGGACCTCCTTTCTCAGAGATGGGGCACCCTATGGCACCCTTGTCCCGATCTTTGGAGATTCCACGTGTGGCTCCTGGACGGGACAAGGCAGGTTTGAGTACCCTGCCACCTGCGGCTACCATCACTTCCGCTAGAGCGTCGTCCACGAGACACATCTACGCATTGAAGTGGAATCTCTTCATCAACTGGTGCTCTTCCCGCCGAGAAGACCCCCGGAGGTGCTCGATCAGTGTCGTGCTTTCCTTCCTGCAAGACGAGTTGGAGCAAAGGCTGTCTCCCTCCATCCTGAAGGTGTATGTGGCTGCCATTGCCGCATATCACAAAGCAGTTGAAGGTAAGTCCCTAGGAAGGCACGACCTGATCGTCAGGTTCCTGAGAGGAGCGAGGAGACTAAATCCTCCTTGCCCTCCTCTCATACCCTGTTGGAACCTCTCAGTGGTCTTAAATGCCCTGCAGAGATCTCCCTTTGAGCCTCAGTTGAATCAGTTGAGATTAAATTCCTGTCAATGAAGACAGCGCTCCTGGTTGCACTGGCCTCCTTCAAGAGGGAAGAGGGTGGGGGACCTGCACGCATTCTCCGTTGACGAAGTGTGCCTGGAATTCGGGCCAGCCTACTCTCACGTGATCCTGAGACCCCAGCCTGGATATGTGCCCAAGGTTCCTACCACTCCCTTCCAGGACCAGGTGGTGAACCTACAAGCGCTGCCCCTGGAGGAGGCAGACCCAGACTTGACACTGCTCTGTCCAGTACGCGCCCTCCGTGCTTACGTAGACAGAACGCAGTGTATCAGGACCTCAGATCAGCTCTTTGTCTGTTATGGTGGGAGCCAGAAGGGAAGGGCTCTCTCAAAGCAGAGGTTGTCTCACTGGATAGTGGACACCATTGCTTTGGCTTAGCAGCAGCAAGGTCGACCGTGCCCCCTTGGTGTGACAGCCCACTGCACCCGGAGTGTGGCTTCCTTGTGCATGGCGCCTCGCTAACAGACATCTGCAGAGCTGCAGGCTGGGCGACACCCAACACATTCTCCCGATTCTATAATCTCCGAGTGGAGCCTGTGTCCTCTCTTGTACTCGCTCAACCGGCCAGTACTGGACCCGCTCAGGTGTCTTCGCTTGCTCGCCATTCCACTCCACGGACTGGATAAGTGCGATTATTTCTCAGCTGAGCCTTCTATTGAAGCCATGAGTTCCTCCAGCACTGTTGACGCTGGCGCCAGTGTCTGTTGCCTGGACGTCGGCTAGGTGCCTCTGTGTGCGTGGTTCCTGCTAGTAACCTCCACACGTGTAATTTCCACTGTAAGCCTCTCTGAGCATGTGTCTTCCCTCGGCAAGCCACCTTGCCACCCCTGGAGTTATGATTCTAGCCACCCTACGGGTTGGTGACTCCAGTGTTCCTCCATACGAAGCTCCATACGGGTAGGCATACTGCGGCATATTTCCTCGGAGATATGCTCCCCAGTGTACCTTGGTATTCCTGTGCTAAGTAGGACTCCTCGTCTGTGCTTAAATGTAATTTCACTTGTACGTAGCAAACTTTATCACAGAATGTGTAACGTTATGTAGTTTCAAAAAAATGCGCCAGCATTAGTGTTTGTGTGTGTCTGTGTGTGTGTTGCACATCCATACTTGCAAAAAGACGCGATTACAACAACGCTATAAGTACATAAATGTATCAGATAACCATACCGAGACGTACTGGTCCATTCTCATGTGTTTATTCTGTCTGAGTCTCTTAGTACTATTTATATATTCCGATTCAAACGTACGCTGAATGACATTCAAAACAGCGCGTCTCTCGCTCTCCCCTTCTGCTTACCGACTGCCGATAGGTATCATGTTACGCCCTTATCCAAAGGCAGGGCGGGGATATGCAGCTCATTTGCATTTAAGGTGGCATACACCCATAACAGCTCATTTTTAATCAGGTCCCAAAATGACATTTTCAAATGGTTATAATAAATTAACTGTGGGGTATTTTGAGCTGAAACTTCACAAATACATTCTGGGGACACCCGAGACCAATATTACATCTTGTAAAAAGGGGCATAATAGGTGCCCTTTAATACTCGAAGAGGATTGGCTTTCTAGGCGAAACCCCCATTCTCCGTCATCCGACGTAACGTCTCCGTTCCCTACTCAGGGAACGAGGGTTACATACGTAACCGAGACATTTTGGTGCTAAATAGGAAAAGGATCCACCGCCTGCAGTCGATTTTGATATTCTAGGTATTATCAACTGGCCGGAATTTCAAGATCGCAATAGACGTGAAGTACTTGAGAAAATCCTTGCAGATATAATTTCTTTCTAAAAAGAAACATAGCTACATATACGAAGAGTTCAGATGCAAAAGCCTCTAAATGCCATTTGAAATGTTCTTCTTTAATGATGATTTTTGTCAAACTTGTATATTTAAGTTCAGTAATTTCAGTTAAATAACAATTAATAGGTAATTATCATTGCCATTTAAGTGAAATGACTGAACTTGCTTGATAAAAATGGTCATTCTAGAAGAAAATTTCAAATGGCACTTAGAGGCTTTTGCATCTGAACTCTTCATACATACATTAGGCAGGCAAGCCTGATATATTATATCATTATCCCTATAGGATGCAATTATATACACACACACATTATATATATATATATATATATATATATATATATATATATATATATATATATATAATTGCATCCTATGGGGATAATAATATAATATTATAATAATAATATTATTTATTTATTTATTTTTTTACTGTGTGCCAAATATCTCTGTGACAATACGTTTTTCTCATTTCTAGAAAACTATTATAAAAATATAATTATCAATGAACATGAATTGTAGAATGACTCAAAATATATTCATATTTATATATCATATGTCATTCATTTATTTCAATATTATTTTAACATCTGCACCTTCATCTTAAACCATTATTTAAACCTTTGAAACAATATGTAGTGTGAAAAGCGCTATATAAATAAATTTGAATTGAATTATTTAGGCCTAACTATTTAGCCACAAACATGGCTAAACAACAGAACAGAAGTTAGGATATTTGAGAAAAAAAAAATTAAGAATGCCTTTGAAAATTCGTAATTATTCTATTTGTTTACAGTATGCGGTGTGGATGTAATCAGCTCAGTAAATGGTAAATCCGCTAGGCTACACATTCGTTGTCATGTGACTAGATTAACCAGAAGGGGGCAGCCGACATTCTCTGGCAGCACCATAACAAATGAGGGCAATGATGCGTGCACAAGCATTCGCAACAAACTGAGCTTTGTCTCTCACTTATTCGGAAGATTACATCCAACACGGCCTGATTGGGAGAGAAGGCCTTTAAAAAAATATTTGCACAGCGAAATGATGACCGTGATGCGGTGATAAAGGCGAAATGAAGCCGGATAGCGCAGGCATCAGATTTGTTGGGGAGTTAAAGACGGTTTGCATTAGAAGTGATGGGGGGAGAAGATCTCTGGATCCCCTATAAAAAACCCCGTGAGATTCCACCCGCTTGGCCAGACGGAACCAACCACATCCACATCCCGCCCGTTATTGAGAACATCCTTCAGCAAAATCAGCAGGGAATGAGGAGAAATTGGAGGCATGCATGCATGAAAATCTGACACTGATGCACCTCTGTTGGCCTCTGTAACGCCGCGTTATGGAAATAGGAGGATAACGGTATTCAAGCGGCTTTTTGCTCCTAATGGCAGAGGCACCAAAATAAACCTGTCGGTCGAGAGCACGTGCTTTTGTACTAGGAGTTTGTCTGATCAGACCGACGGAATGGTGTCTTTGAGATGTCACAGGAGCAGGTATATATGGGCCACTCTGGGAGTGCTGGCGTTGTTGTGGCTCTATATCTTCCCCGTGTATAAGCTTCCCAGTGACAAGGAAATGGTGGATGAGGTTCTGCGGCAGGGACAAACATGGACCAGAAACCAAACGGGAGTAGATCTGTACAGGTATTTTCATTCATTCATTCATTCATTCATTTTATTCAAACCTCTATGATGCGCAAGGCCATTATCTATGATGGAATTTTAAGTGGAGTTTGAATCCCCGTTGTCTTTTTAACTAAGTAAATGGATTGGTTGCACTATGTATCTCGAACATGTAATGTGGCTTTCATGCTGATAGAGTATTGCAGAGTGCAGACATCTCCCAGGAAAACCGATTATGAAAACGCGCATGCGCAGTGGAAGATGATTTGTTTGAAACGTTATCTGTACCCTCTCTGACTTCCCAGAAAGGGTGACTATTGGGACGCCATAAAGAGGTTGATTCTGTTCGGTCAATCTCATGATTGATGTATTCAATTATATTTTACAAAGAAAGCGAAGCATGGTTTATAGACGTTATGGTTGTTTTGCTAAGTTAACCATTAGGCACATTTTCCCTCCAAATTCTTATTACCATTAATGCACAACATACTATATATCATGGAATACAAAAACATGTTCAAATATGATCTCTCTCTCTCTCTCTCTCTCTCTCTCTCTCTCTCTATATATATATATATATATATATATATAAAGTGATAAAGTGTTGTGGTTCCAAGTTTGATTTAACTAATTTAATAGATTGCTGTAAAAAAATTCTTCAGTTATGAGAAACGCCATTAGACATGGTAATTAATAGAAAGTAAATATTGGGGAATGTACTTAATTGACCTTAAAGTAATGTCAAAATAACGTGTGACAAATTAAAAAACATTCAAAAATGTCGTTTGTTTTAAGAAAGAAAGAAAAAACGACTGACCCCAAACAGTTGAATGGGAGGGAATATTGTCTCAAAAGATTTCTATTTTAATTAAATGCTGTTCTTTTTTTTTTTACCTTTTTAAATCATCAAAAAATCCTGAAAAAAAGTATCACATGATATAAAGACAACTAATCAACACTGTGGTTTCTAATATTGATAACAAATCAGCATATTAGACTAAAATCTGAAGGATCATGTGACTCTGAAGACTGGAATAATGGCCAATGAAAATTCAGCTTTGCATCACTGAAATACATTTTGTTTTAAAGTATATTAAAATAGAGAACAGTTACTTAATTTAATTATCACAATAATGCTGGGTTTTTTTCTGTATTTTTGATCAAATCTTGCTTGATAAGCATAAGAGACTACAATCAAAAACATTATTAAAAAATAGTAATGTTTTGACTGGTATATTGTGTGCGTGTCAATCGATTTTGGTTTGAAATTTATGTTAACAGTTGTAAAATGATTCGTGTCAGGATCACACAGCTTTGTTAAATCATAAGTAAAAATAAAAAGGCCTGCTGTGAAACAATACTAGAACCTGTTTGGACAGCGGATGCCAAAATGATTCTTTTGCTTGCATGCTTTCCGTTTGTGCTTGCTTTTATTTTGGTCATCAAATTAGTTTGTGTAATTGCACCGCAATTGTTCTGCTAAATAAAAGACTTTATGCTTTCAAGAATGCGTGCTTGTTCTCAGTCAATTAGAAAGGACATTTTCACATGCCCATTTCTGTTGTTATTTCTGCTTAATGTCCCTTTTTTGTCTTGTTCTGCAGGAAGCTGCTGACAGAATGCTGTGATCCAAAGAAGATGTTTGCGATTACTAAGGAGAACTCTCCAATAGGCAAAGTCTTGTGGTATGATGGGGAAATCTACCATTACCACACGGTCAACAATGAAACCTACCCGTTATTTGTCCAGGTACTGTCTTTCATAAGTCCCACGTAGCTTCCAACAGTAACCTGAATTAACACGGATAAAATGATTTTTATTTTTCTTGACTATAAAATGCAGCAATGAATGTGGAAGTGTTTGGAAGAGAAGCAGTTGGTCCAGATTTTTTTTTCTTCTTTCTTTCCACCCCCACTCTCCATGAGGCTCAGCGCTGCGCTCTGCTTTCTAAAAATAAACAGGCATGGGAGAGACACCCGCATGGGTCCTGATTGTCCTGTACTTGGCACCATGCCTCCTACACTGTCTGTTCCTCCTACACTGTCTCAGAGCCACACTCATTTTTTGCAAAATACACACTGTAAAGTTACAGGAGTGAAAACCGCAATTAAATGCATGAGTGAATCCCCTAAATTATTGTTCTATATATGGAACATGACTCTCCCGAAACTGCAATGATTGTCTTTTATGTTTTTTAGAGTCTGCTTCTCGCAGTGTTGTAGTGTGTCCACTTATCATTAGTCATTTTTGGGGTTGTTGTTTCTGCTTCAGTTTATGCAGTTATTAACTCTTTCCCCATCAGCACTTTAAAAAAAAAACAGCGCGTTTTTGATCATTTTCACGGCCCCCGGTTTATTTTGTTGTATGAATATCTGAACATGCAATTTATCAAAAGAAAGAACAGACCCTCTGCTTTTAAACAAAATCCATTTTAGATAGCTTCATGCATGCTTTCTTTTTTTTTATCAACCCCTTGAAGCTGAGAAAATCACTTTTTTGTCAGACTATGTCTGGATGGGATTCAGAATGATGATCCAAAACATGGATGGAGTAGATTGAGTCTATCAACAACCCCAAATTTTGCACAGTCCTGTAGCCTCTACCTTGTCTTTAGTCGACATTTCATTCAGTAACATTAGGCTGTTTTGATTTATATACTGTTTAATGTTGATGATCGTGTTATTTTACATATTCTTATGATTACATATGCTATTGCTTGTTTCTGCGTCAAGATTCAGTACTCTTTCACAGCACCCCTACCATATAACAGTGAAAACATGGAAAGCTGGAAAAATTTGAGAAGATCCTCACTGCAGAACATGAAATCCAGGGGGAGGAGTTGGATCCAAATCCAACTCCTCTACTCATTTCTGCCCTCTGATCCCTAACCCCACCCCTAATACTACTCATCTCTGCCCTCTGATCCCTAACTCCACCCCTAATCCTACTCATCTCTGCCCTCTGATCCCTAATCCCACCCCTAATACTACTCATCTCTGCCCTCTGATCCCTAACTCCACCCCTAATCCTACTCATCTCCGCCCTCTGATCCCTAACCCCACCCCTAATCCTACTCTTCTCCACCCCCTGATCCCTAAACCTACCTATCTCCACCCTCTGATCCCTAACCCCACCCCTAATCTTACTCATCTCCGCCCTCTGATCCCTAACCCCACCCTTAATCCTACCTATCTCTGCCCGCTGATCCCTAACCCCACCCTAATCCTACTCATCTCCGCCCTCTGATCCCTAACCCCACCCCTAATCCTACTCATTTCCACCCCCCTGATCCCTAACCCCACCCCTAATCCTACTCATCTCCGCCCTCTGATTCCTAACTCCACCCCTAATCCTTCCCATCTCCACCCCCTGATCCCTAACCCCACCCCTAATCCTACCTATCTCCGCCCTCTGATCCCTAACCCCACCCCTTATCCTAGCCATCTTCACCCCCCTGATCCCTAACCCCACCCCTAATCTTACCTTTCTCCGCCCTCTGATCCTAACCCCACCCCTAATCCTACCTATCTCCACCCTCTGATCCCTAACCCCACACCTAATCCTACTCATCTCCACCCCCTGATCCCTAACCCCACCCCTAATCCTACCTATCTCCGCCCTCTGATCCCTAACCCCACACCTAATCCTACTCATCTCCACCCCCCTGATCCCTAACCCCACCCCTAATCCTACCTATCTCCGCCCTCTGATCCCTAACCCCACACCTAATCCTACTCATCTCCACCCCCCTGATCCCTAACCCCACCCCTAATCCTACCTATCTCCGCCCTCTGATCCCTAACCCCACACCTAATCCTACCCATCTCCACCCTCTGATCCCTAACCCCACCCCTAATCCTACCTATCTCCGCCCTCTGATCCCTAACCCCACCCCTAATCCTACCCATCTCCACCCTCTGATCCCTAACCCCACCCCTAATCATACCTATCTCCGCCCTCTGATCCTAACCCCACACCTAATCCTACCCATCTCCACCCTCTGATCCCTAACCCCACACCTAATCCTACTCATCTCCACCCTCTGATCCCTAACCCCACCCTAATCCTACCCATCTCCACCCTCTGATCCCTAACCCCACACCTAATCCTACTCATCTCCACCCTCTGATCCCTAACCCCACCCCTAATCATACCTATCTCCGCCCTCTGATCCTAACCCCACACCTAATCCTACCCATCTCCGCCCTCTGATCCCTAACCCCACACCTAATCCTACCCATCTCCACCCTCTGATCCCTAACCCCACACCTAATCCTACCCATCTCCACCCCCTGATCCCTAACCCCACCCCTAATCCTACCTATCTCCGCCCTCTGATCCCTAACCCCACCCCTAATCCTACCTATCTCCGCCCTCTGATCCCTAACCCCACACCTAATCCTACTCATCTCCACCCCCTGATCTCTAAACCTATCTATCTCCGCCCTCTGATCCTAACCCCACACCTAATCCTACCCATCTCCACCCCCTGATCCCTAACCCCACACCTAATCCTACCTATCTCCGCCTTCTGATCCCTAACCCCACCCCTAATCCTACCTATCTCCGCCCTCTGATCCCTAACCCCACACCTAATCCTACTCATCTCCACCCCCCTGATCCCTAAACCTATCTATCTCCGCCCTCTGATCCTAACCCCACCCCTAATCCTACCTATCTCCGCCCTCTGATCCCTAACCCCACACCTAAACCTACTCATCTCCACCCCCCTGATCCCTAAACCTATCTATCTCCGCCCTCTGATCCCAACCCCACACCTAATCCTACCCATCTCCACCCCCTGATCCCTAACCCCACCCTAATCCTACCTATCTCCGCCCTCTGATCCCTAACCCCACACCTAATCCTACTCATCTCCACCCCCCTGATCCCTAAACCTACCTATCTCCACCCTCTGATCCTAACCCCACACCTAATCCTACCCATCTCCACCCCCTGATCCCTAACCCCACCCCTAATCCTACCTATCTCCGCCCTCTGATCCCTAACCCCACCCCTAATCCTACCTATCTCCGCCCTCTGATCCCTAACCCCACCCCTAATCCTACCTATCTCCGCCCTCTGATCCCTAACCCCACACCTAATCCTACTCATCTCCACCCCTCTGATCCCTAAACCTATCTATCTCCGCCCTCTGATCCTAACCCCACACCTAATCCTACCCATCTCCACCCCCTGATCCCTAACCCCACCCCTAATCCTACCTATCTCCGCCCTCTGATCCCTAACCCCACACCTAAACCTACTCATCTCCACCCCCCTGATCCCTAAACCTATCTATCTCCACCCTCTGATCCTAACCCCACACCTAATCCTACCCATCTCCACCCCCTGATCCCTAACCCCACCCCTAATCCTACCTATCTCCGCCCTCTGATCCCTAACCCCACACCTAATCCTACTCATCTCCACCCCCCTGATCCCTAAACCTACCTATCTCCACCCTCTGATCCTAACCCCACACCTAATCCTACCCATCTCCACCCCCTGATCCCTAACCCACCCCTAATCCTATCTATCTCCGCCCTCTGATCCCTAACCCCACACCTAATCCTACTCATCTCCACCCCCCTGATCCCTAAACCTACCTATCTCCACCCTCTGATCTCTAACCTCACACCTAATCCTACCCATCTCCACCCCCTGATCCCTAACCCCACCCCTAATCCTACCTATCTCCACCCTCTGATCCTAACCCCACACCTAATCCTACTCATCTCCACCCCCCTGATCCCTAAACCTACCTATCTCCACCCTCTGATCCCTAACCCCACACCTAATCTTACTCGCCTCCACCCCCCTGATCCCTAATCCCACCCCTTATCCTACCTATCTCCGCCCTCTGATCCCTAATCCCACCCCTAATCCTACCTATCTCCGCCCTCTGATCCCTAACCCCACCCTAACTGTGTATACCTAACTGTGAGAGAGCCAATACATGATCTATTACTTCTGTATTGACACATACAATAAAAATACCCATGCTAAGCTCTAATGGCTTGGACCATTAAGAAGCCTCCTACATAGGAATTACCCAGAAAACCTTAGTAACCACACTAATAACTACTCAGGGTGCCTTTAGATCCAGTGTATCAACTACCCACAACAAAAATCATTTACAACTCATTTAGAAGGAAAATGTCTGTCCATGAGTGCTTGATTATGTGAGTGAGTGAGATGGAAATGCTGGCCTGTGATGTTAATGGATCACCAGGGGCTTTACAAAGGGCCATTTCATTGATTCAGTTTCTCTAAGGTTCACCGCTCTTTGAAGTATATGAATATTGAAGTATCCTTGATTTGAATATGTATTCATCAAAAGAAACCCATGGAAATGTAATTTTTGTGTGACTCTCTATTCTTTGACCCACTTGTGTAACTCCCACGATTTTTGTGTTGCTAGGATACACCATTGCATCTTCCTCTAAAGAAGTGTTCGGTTGTGGGCAATGGAGGGGTCCTGAAACACAGTGGTTGTGGAAACGAAATTGACCAAGCTGACTTTATCATGAGGTGAGAAGGTGCTAATATTTTCTTGTTTTGGACTGGCTGAGCGTGTCAAATTATATTAAAAAAAGACTGGCGAAATGATACCCTCATACCTGCGATACTCCAGGGTTTACAAATGTATTGTTAATTAAAAAGCTAAATTTGGTGTTACATTGAAAATGAATAGGCTTGGACTTGGTGCTGGAAACCCAATGCACGGGACAGTGGTGACACCTGAATAAAAGTATTCGTGATTCTGAAGCTCAAAATACAGATTTTTTTTAGACGAATATGCTTGCACTCTGTCACTGACTAGATGTATTTAAAATAACGTCGGCCACTTTTTACTGGTAAGATTAGACGTTTGGCATTATCAGGACCCACAAATATTCCCCCATTGCATTATTATACATTATAATCATAATCAACATTACAGCAGTTGAATGTAGTACTGACACTAAAACTCTGAAGACTTTTATTTTTTCTGTCATTTTCGTTTTGTGCGAGCTATACATGACGCATATTGTTGATGCACATTTTTCTATTGCGAAATATTGTTACATTTGCAGAACATGTCAAGTTTATATGTAAACATATTTGCATGTACATATATTGTGCACAAGCTGTTACTATTATTGAATAGTAATATTCTTTATGAATGTTTGCACAAAAGGAATGGATGTTTCTTGAAAGTAGTGATGGTTTCAGCAAATTGGGTCAAGGTAGGCAGTTCGTTCCATCTAAGAGGAGTGAAAGGGCTTCATTGTATAGGAAGGTTTTGCACAGGGGGGAACATGCACTTGTAGGATTGAGGTAGGAGGCTCCATTTTCAGTAGCAATCCTCAACGCCAGAATCAAACTCTTCAATTTGTGTTAGGCGGCTACAAGTAGACACTGGAGTGAGACCAACTGTTTCTATATCCAGGCCAAGTTGTCTGAAGGGTTCTGCAGTGATGGAAGCTGGGCATTGGGTTGTCAGGTTGAAACAACAGGCATATCAACAACATGAGGGCATATCATCTCCACAGGAAAAGATATGTGCCTTTTTGATCAAGCTTAGTGAGGTTGCGTATATCATGAAAAAGAGCGGGCCAAGCACTGAACCTTGAGGCACTCCAGTAATTAACTCCTCTCCAGAAAATCTTGAAGATTCTGCCTGTGAGATAAGACTGAAACCACTCAAGTGCCATACCTGTGATGCTCAGGTCAAAAATCTCGCACTCCTTACCTTCTGGATTTTATAATAATTTCCTTTTCCTCAGTCGAGCGATTACTCTCATTTAACCGTTGAAAAGACGAAGGAAGGGGCACGCTGTTTCGTGAGACATTTTCATTTATAAATGCCTTAGGCTACGTCCACATTAATCCGGATACATTTGAAAACGGGGTTTTCGTTCAAAAAATTCACTTTACTGCGCATGCGTAAAACTTCACAAAAGCTCACTGAGATGATACAGATGGGGAAATAAATAATATTGTTATCGCACAATAACAGGATAATTTTATTTAGCAAAATATCTCACCATCACTGATGCGTCCAGGTTGCATTCAGTCACCATATGTTTGGTCTAAAACGCAAGGACAGCAGGTCTGTTTTGCCGCAGGACAGCAAATGTAAGTACATTATCTGTCATCTTTGCAGTACTGTTCTAAGAATAGCACATACATAGAAAGTAACATATTTTAGCAATAGTGTAAAAATGAATAACACATAACAGGCACAATACCGATAAACATGAATATCTATTGGTACTACATGGATCACATGACTAAACTTACGTCATCGTTTTGAAATACCTCCAGTGTCACTGTCCACACTACAACGCGAAAACGGCGTTTTCAAATTTATCCACTTAGGAGAGCGTTTTCCAAACGATACGTTTTTGTTGACTTAAAACGCAGTCTCAGTGTGGACGGAAGGCCAAAACGGAGAGAAAAATATACGTTTTCAAACGAAAACGTATTAGTGTGGACTTGGCATTAATTCTTAAATTCGCGATTGGTGCGTTTCACCCAGTGTTGTAGTACTCGAGACTCGGACTCGTCCGAGTATAGACCATATTTTATTGGTCTTGGTCTTGTCATGGACTCGTGTCCATTTGGACTCTGAATTGACTCGTACTCGAACATTTTTTTTTTTAGGACTCGGAATTATTCCCGAGTCCACTCGAGTTCAATTAAAAATATTTTTCATGATTATTAATGTATGTTAATAAAATATTTCTTTAAATTGATTGACACGCCCAGTGATTGGTGATTTTCTAGTGCGCAACTGCGCATGACAAATTGTAATAAAATTACTTTTAACACCACCTACTATGAGGCCTTTTTACCCTAAACTGATCATATTTTTCAAACTCTAAGTAAATTCCGTAAAAAAAAAAAAAAGGATTTCTCTAAGTAAATAAAAGTAAATTAGGTAATCAACCCTCACTGGTCTCGGTCTCGACTCGGACTCGACCGTCTCTGGTCTCGGACTCGACTCAGACTCGACTCTCTATGGACTCGGTCTTGACTCGGACTCGACTCTCTCTGGTCTCGGCGTCGACTCGGACTCGAGTGAGGTGGTCTCGACTACAACACTGGTTTCACCATCAGTGTGCACTGCGCGTGACGTCTACGTTCGTCAATAAATAAACTGCACGTGTCTTGCGGAAGAACACTGTAGCCGGAGCTACTTCTCTCCATTAATGTCTATGGCGAGTCACGCAGGCACTGGGTGAACTCCACATCCGAGTCGACCCTGGGATAAATTCGTCCGAATATAAACACTTATAATAGGCGTATCATAGTGATTCAGGATAAGTCACAAACGTGGTTTGGAAAATGGATTCATGATGTAGCCTAGTAGCCCACTCGTTCATTTTGAACATAAGTTACGGACTGCAGCAGCTGATACAAAGGCGTTCTGTTGTGCGAGCGTCCACTTGCACATCAAATTTTAACTCGCACATTCTCAAAAAAAAAATTGTTCGCAGTCTGGAACCCTGCTCTGATCGGTAAAGGTGCACAGACCTCTCCCAATCATCTCCTGCACTCAGCGTCCGAAGCACAACTAACTCCACCTCATTACTTTATTTAATTAAAGACTGTTGTTTTTAACAAAGACTTTGTTGTTTTTGCGTATGACATATAGTAACGTCACTCCCAACAACCATTTTTCTTCATTCCCTCTTTATCTCCTCTACCTCTAGATGTAACCTTCCTCCCTTGTCCAAAGAGTACACCGCTGATGTTGGTACTAGAACACACCTGGTGAGCGCAAATCCTAGCATTATTGAAAAGAGGTATGTTGTCTTCTCCTCGCTTTATTTAGTCTTTTTATTTATTTATTTTTTGAAGGGGGGGGGGTTATGATTATTTAACCCTCAGGTGTTCTTCGGTCATTTCTGACCGAAAAATTTTCTGTTTTGAATTTCTAAAAATCATGGCTTCATCGGAATGTTACGAAACTTGGTGACTTTTATGGCATTGGGTATGTGAACACACAAAAAAAAATTGAGGTCATGATCCGAGCAGGCTAAGTGGTCGTAAAAAAAATAGTCACACTTGTGGTCTTCAGTCAAAAATGACCGACCCATAGGAAATGAATGGGAAATTGACAAAAAAAAATTTCTCTGAATTTTTGTACGTGCAATCTACAAAACGGCCACAATTCTATAAAAAAAAAAAAAAAGTACACTGCAGGAAAGGGGTGACACTCTACAACATCTAGAGAGCAAAACAGACAAACCCACCCACACACACATTTATACACATACTACACACCAATAAATTTTGATTACAAAAAGTATGTTTTGAATTTTTAAAAATCACAGCTTCATCGGAATGTTACGAAACTTGGTGACTTTTATGGCATTATGTATGTGAACACACAAAAATTGAGGTCATGATCTGAGCATGCTTAGTGGTCTTAAAAAAAAGAGTCACACTTGTGGTCTTTGCTCAAAAATGACCCCCATAGGAAATGAATGGGAAATTGATAAAAGCACAAAAATTCACAAATTTTTATTTATTTTTTTTTTCATTTTTTTAATAAATCGTTTTTGAGATTGTTTCAACTATATATTCAAGTCCACCCAAAAAAAAAAAAAATGTGATGTGTTCATAAACATCTGGGGAATTCACATGCTTCTCCATAGAGAGCTGTACATGCTATCTAGTGGTTACACCATGATTATACGCTTTTTCTCTATACTGTAACCAGATGGTGCTAATTTTCTTCAAAAAATGTTTTTTTTTTCTGAAGGCCTAGACTTTATATTAAACTAAAATACTGCATTAATAATTTTTTGAAAAAAATTACATATATATAGAAAAATATATATTTTTCCATGGCAAAAATAGACAATAAATATTGCATAAATATTAAGAAATTCAATCAAATTGTCTCAAAATACGAAATTACAAAGAATAAATATTATAGAACAAAAATAAATTGCATTGGTTTTACTGGGATGGAGAAAATTACATTTTTATTGGTCCGGTTTGACCAGGAGGATGACAAGTGTGATTCCGAAACGAAGAGCACCTGAGGGTTCATCTCAATACAAACAATTCCGTATTGGATACCAATAACAATGATTTGGATACCAAAGTGGCATCTTTCTGCTGCTCTACAGTCTTTATAATAGGTGCACACCAATATGCATTTGTCGCAGCTGGCTTTAGCACTACTGAATTTGATAACAAATATTGAAATGAATTGTTTAGTTGAAATTGTTAGCTTTTTTATGATTATTATTTTAGTATTGAAACTTTTGACATCACTAATGGGCACACATAAATCCATTTTGTTCCATCTCTAAAGTGAAACGTCGGATAAATTGTGTTGTTGTTTTGATTTAGCATTTAATACAAGACTGTAGTTGTTTCCATAAAATAATGCTTCCCTCACGCTACCGTTCCATGTTTTTTTCTAACTGTTCCATGTCTTGTTCAACTTATTTTTAAAATTACAATGCTTTCTGTTGTCTGACAGTTCATAATCCTTCATTGTGAAACCGCCTGTAGCTATTTGTGGCTTCTGGGGAAGTCAGTAGCATGTGGCAAACAGCATGACAGAATTGTCTGAAAAGGACTTTCAGTTTACCAAATAGCTTACATGTCTTGAGTGATGGATATTGACCTTTCTTAGTGGATTATCCCTTTTATTACTTGCGTTAGCTGGCATGAGATCTCTAGTCTCAAGTGCATTGGTGTTAGTACCATGTTCAAACGTTTTCTTTTTTTTTAGTTTTTGCTGAAGTATTCCCAGACAGCAAACTGACATTGAATCAACGTGGAAACGACGTCTCTCATGACATTGAAACAACGTTGATTTTGCTCATCGAATAACGTTGAACCAACGTCAGACGCGGCACTCTTCAAAGCTAAATGAAAATCGAAAATTGGTTTGCTTTCATAACGTTGAAACAACGCATTGATTTCAAGTTGATTTTCCGTTAGTTTTGAAAGAATGACGCGTCTGACGTTGGTTCAACGTTAATTCGATGAGCAAAACAATGTCAGATCAACGTTGTTTCGATGTCATGTTTCCACGTTGATTCAATGTCAGTTTGCTATCTGGGTTGATAATTCTTAATATAATTTTAACTGATATTAAAGGGATGCTCAACTTTTTTTCGGAAATAGGCTCATTTTACCACTCCCCAGTTGGATAAACAGTTGGGTTTTACCTTTTTCAAATCCATTCAGCCGATTTTCTGATATTTAGAAGAATATCAGTAACCAGACAGTTTCTGGTCTCATTGACTTCCATAATAGGAAAACAATATACTATGGAAGTCAATGACAAACTGTCTGGTTACTGATATTCTTATAAATATCAAAAAATCATCTGAATACATTGGAAAACGGTAAAACCCAACTGTTTAACTCTGGGGGAGTGGTAAAATGTTTGTTTTTTTTGGCCTATTTCCCAAAAAAAGCGGAGTATCCCTTTAAAAATCACTCATATTGTGAAATAAGACTTTGATCATATAGCCTACCAATAATTGTGATTTCAACATTGTGATTTTCTAATCTTTGCCACAATCGAGATTGCCACAAGTATTTGTAAGGTATATCAGAAACAAGCTCAAGCACTTTTTTTATTATAACTTTATTATTCTCTCAATCCCAAGGAAATTACAAGATCTCTAAGAAACGGTATAAATAAAGAGCTAAAGTTAGCCATGGCTCATGAACTGACAGTTAGATTATATCAAAAAATAAAATCCCATCAAAGAATTCATAACATCCATTGTGGCCAGTGAAAATGACAAAATCTTTAAATGAACCAGTTGTTACAGAAAGGACCGTTTTCAAACATAAAACGTGACAAAAATGGCAACATCCACTCTAACCAAAGTAGTGATGATGTGATCTTATACGGATCTTCTTCTTATCCTATATCCTATGGCTATTTAGACACATCTATGGTTCCTCTTTTTCCTCATCAGCTTTCAGAACCTGCTTTGGTCCCGCAAATCCTTTGTAGAGAGCATGAAGGCATATGGTTCCAGCTACATCTACATTCCAGCATTCTCTATGAAGCCCGGCACCGACCCCTCCCTTCGGGCGTACCACACCCTTGCAGACACCGCCTCCAGCCAGACTGTCCTCTTCGCGAATCCAGACTTCCTTAAAAATGTGGGCCGATTCTGGAAGAACCACGGCGTCCATGGCAAACGGCTCTCCACGGGGTTGTTCTTGGTGAGCCTTGCCCTCGGCTTGTGTGAAGAGGTGACCACGTATGGTTTTTGGCCATTTTCGGTGGGGCTAAATGAGCAGCCGGTCAGCCACCACTATTATGACAACATTCTCCCATCCTCGAGATTTCATGCCATGCCTGAGGAGTTCCTGCAACTCTGGCACTTGCACAAGAGCGGCACACTGCGCATGCGGGTCGGCTATTGTGCGAAAGAGGGGCCGGGAGCTGAATAGGGGAAAATAAGTGCGAGGGTTGCCAGGGGCAACTCCATTTATCCCCACGGGAACAGGACGGCCATCCTGTGATTAGCATGAGAATACTGATGCCCCACCCCCCAATCTGGGCCTCTCTTTGGTGTCTATATGCTTGACCCTCAACTGCTACTTAACACCCTTCCCTCTTGTTGCCAAGGGACTGTTGAAAAAGACTTGCATGCGTACCCATCCTCATGTATGCGCTCACTGGAAGCTTGTGTTTCTGTAGAAGTACCGGGGTGATGGGGGCTCAGGTGTCATGTGACCTATTTAAACTGCATCTACCAGCAGCTGGACCCTTGAACCTAGGGGCTATTTGTTCACTTAATGCTTCAACTAGGGGCTGCTTCAAACAATGTCTTAAGATCTTTAAATGGGAAATCAGAAAAGGAGAGCAATGCTTTGATCGCATATTGTCTTGGACTGATTCAATGTGAAAATCGTTCTCGCAGTGTTTGAATTTCTACAAACAGGTTTAGCCTGTAAAAGGGAAAAAGAATGGCCTTGAATGTAAACGCTTAAAAACCGTTTTAAAGTGAAGGCTGCGGATCGTTACACATTATTGTGAGCAAATGTTTGTGGTTTTATTTATTTTTAACGTTCAATGAAGCGTACATGACGCAGTGTTTTGTCATGTTTGGATTGGGAAGTCATGGTTTGAGAGACCACGTCCAAATTGAAGACTTCCACAACAATGGATGAGAGGCTTTGGAACATGTCAACGCCATAGAAGAGGGAGTGAATGGTTCATGTGCCAATGAGAGTGTGAAAACCTTCTGGGTGGTTATCTTTCATTATCATTTGTGTTTTATGTGTTTGGGAATCCGGCATTGATGTTACCCAGTGTTGGAATGAGCCAATTTTGACATGGTTGAAGAAGGGCCACCAATCATACGATAAACTTTTTTTGCCTGATAAGGTGCTGGACACCTGGTCTGGAACATGTAAATATTCAATCACCAGTTTTGTTACTGTTTCCACAAGAATCTTGGGTTCTCTGAATGTAATGGCAGCCATTTTGTGGTCTGCCCGGTAACTTGTTTCCTTGACTTATTAATAGGCGTGTGTGTGTGTGTGTGCGTGCGTGTGTGTGTTAAACTGCACACAGAGAATTAGGTTTAAATCTTGTAGGTGCTGTAACGCATGCACTCCAAGTTAGTCATCACTGACAGACAGTTATAGGAAATATGCACTATAATGTATAAAGCCAGAAACCTCACTACCAAAAATGAATATTCTTTCATCAATTACCCCTAAGACTTTTGTTTATCTTCAAAACACAGAAGTTTTTTTTTTATGAAACCCGAGAGATTTCGTGAAGTCTGAGAACTTGAATTGACTTTCAAAGGGAATCTTCCATTTTGACGCTTTAAAATCGTAAAAGCAGTCAAGTGGTTTAATCCAAGTCTACTAAAGACGCGTGATTGCTTTTATTGTTTTGACAAATATGATAAACGGAAACTCAATGGTACTTTCTTGACTGCTGAGAACAAACCTCATTGGTTCTCGCTTGAAATTTTGAGTTTGTGTACTTTGGTTGACCAAGTTTTGGAGACCAAAATCTCTCAGGTTTGTCTTGGAATGACGTGAAGGTGTGTAAATGATAATATAATTTACTGTTTTTTTTTTCCTCTTAAAAGGGGCAATGGAGTTGCCTTTAAATGTTTCTGCCATCTAAAGGTGTGTTAGCGTTCAGATAGCTAGCTGTAAACATGTCGACAGTTTAACAAACTTAGCTTGTGAGATTTTCTTAAAACTGTTATTCCATCATCTAATTCTACATTCAGTTTTCTAAATGTAGAAGTAGAAAACTTGCGCTAAGGCAACACTGAAAAAGTGGACGTGAACTGAAATGAAATACGTTGACGTTTTTAGCTAGAAGTGCTTGTGTACACGTTCTTGCGTAGGCTGTTTTGTGCATTAATTTATCTAAGTTGGCCTAGACCTACTGTAGACTATTTAATCATTGACCTGGTCACATTTCACCCCAATGAAAAGAAAAAAAACGGACAATTTTTAGTAATATTCACTGATAGTTGGGTGCATAAATGCATAAATGTGTACTTCCAAAAGTATTAACTTTTAATTGTCGTTAAAAAGGCCTTTTTTTCTTTCGATTTTGGGTTGAACTGTGACTAGGAGTGGTTTTAACGGATTTCTTGAGGTTTGCCCTGATAGCAAAAGAAAATGTGTGCCGTCATTTGAGTATCATTACCATATTTTCACACTTTATGCCAACGAGTGCCTTTATCAGTATTAAAAAAGGCCAAGGACATAATTTTATCAAGGACAAGTTTTGAGTCGAAGTATTATTTATTTGGAGTATTATCCCCCAAACTCAAACTTAGCCTCAATTGTGTGTTTTTTGTTTAAGGATTTTTCAATCAACACTTATTTATGAGTTAAATTTCTGGATGGAAGTTGCACATTATCTTAGCATGTGGTTATAGAAGGACCAACATACTGTAAATTACTGTCTTTTTTAACATTGCTTAATTGGCATAAAACCACACCTATCATACATGAAGCTTAGGAAAGTGTTAAATGCTGGAGCTGATGATTATCTTAATTTTTTCCACTTTTTATGCTGTTTTGTGAAAGAGTGGGGTTGTAGTTTGTAAGTAGGCATGCTTGACTGTGATATGTAATTGGTTTTTCAAACTGATGAAACTCTCTAACTATTATCTATTTTCAGTTTTACCCTGCGAGCCATATGAGGGTGTGTGCCCTGCTGAAACTGAGCTTACCTCAAATGTTTATTCACTGAAATTCATTGATGAAGCTCATGGGAGCTTGGATCTTAGGTATTTAAGTATGTTTTACTCCACTAAGTTGTAAGTGTGTTCTATCATTTCAATTCCTGGCTCAAGCAGTTGGATATTGGTTTTTGTACTTGAGCATGTAACGATCTAGTAACAGGAAATGGGCTGAACGTTGTTTACGGGCCCCATGAATTATGCCAATATTGAAAGAAATTTGTGTGAAAAGTAAGCAAATGCTGCTTTCAAACAATAAAGACATCCTGTCAACTCATCTGCTGCTGTGTGTGTCAATTGTATCTACGTATATTATTGAAATGTTGTACATATATAATATTAGATTTCTTGTACAAGTCTGACAGCCTGTCTAAAACACCTTCTGTCCAATACATTTTTAATGTCAGGGTCCAGCTGTCTTCTTGGAGATGGTCAAATGACTAATTTTCAATGTGTTCTTTGTTTTTAGTGGGAGAGAAATGTGTGTATGGATGGATGATTTATAGTTTGGGAAGCTAGTTTTTTTCAAAATTACTGAACCCAGAAAATCCTCTTTTTTTTTTTTTTTGTCCATAAGTAACAATTTAATCAGGCATTTTTTTTTATGACCAAGCATACGCATAATGGTTTGTAAGGTTCCATGTGTGTAACTGTGAGGCTTTATTTTCTTGAATAATAATGTGTTTTGTGTGGGTGTTCAGGCTGGAGGTCTACTACACCGAGTCTCCAGTGAGGTCTGCGGTTATGTCAATGACTTTTTTTTTTTTTAATTTGCCAAATGGGGACTGTAAAATACAAATCAGCAGAAGCAATTTAAAACACCTACATAAGCATCTCTCCATTTGCACATTTTTATTATACTTATCACAGGATCTTTGCAAGTGCATCCTTATGCATGGAGCCCACAAGATTTGCACTACAGGATGCAGTTAAAATAAACCAGCACATGTGCATTTACAGCTCTGCAAACAACCACATAAAATTGTTTCAGGTTTTGGTTTATGATGATGATGGTGTTTTAAATGAGTTATCATACACTTTGAACATTATTATTATTACAATGGGTAAATAAATACCATATATACAAAAGTAAGTGGAATAACAGTAGAACGTGACATTTAAACGTGAACATTAAAAACGTGACATTTAGACGTTTTTTCGGCGTGGATCAAGGCAAATGAATCCTTTTCACCATGAAAATTATATATATTGCATTTTAAATAATAGAACATTTCACAATGATCGTCAATAAAACAAAATTCAAATTTTCTCGGTCGTTATGGCAGAGATGTGTTAACGCAAACGCGTAATTCACGTTTGAGGGGGTTAAACCGTGACATCTACACGTTTTCCAAAGTGGACCAACGTGATTACGTCTTTGTCGTGATACCGGGGGTTAAACCGTGACATCGTTTTCCAAAGTGGACCGACCAATTATTTCACGTCTTGTCTTGATACCGGGTTGTCCATTCGCGTAGCCTATGTTATGCACTATTCATGTATTCTACCCAACAGAGCAACATTTTTCTTCTAGATTTATAACATTACAAATGTTGACACTGTCTATGTGATCGTCTACAGTGATCGTCAATAAAACAAAATTCCATTTTTCTCGGTTTAATGAAAACCAATAGGTCGTTATGTTATGGCAGAGGCGATATTGCGTGTAAGATACCGGGTTGAACGGTCAGTGTACTTGCATTCGCTTTCCTTTTTTTAACCCGTAATTGCAAAACGAAAAATGAACAGTTGTTTCATTTTTAAAAGCAAAGTTGAACAGCAACAGTAGGCTATTTGACCAAACCAATGCTGCGCAATATATATACATATATATACTACCGGTCAAGAGTTTTAGATCGGTTAGATTTTTTCTGTTTTTAAATGAAGTCTCTTAGTTCTGCTCACCGACCAAGGCTGCTTTATTTGATGAAAAAAATGAAAAGTAATATTGTGAAATATTATGACAATTTAAAAATGACTGTTTTCTATTTAAAACATTTTAAAATGTAATTTGAAAGCTGAATTTTCAACATCATTACTGTTGCTGATTACACATCAGTTTTTACTGTCACATGATCCTTCAGATGGGGTGCAAGGAAAAAAGTTTCACTTTTAAATCTTACCAAACTTAAAAGGAAAGAGACTCATACATAGATTTATAGGAGCTATTTTGAGTTTGGTTTAATCTAAATTGTTGTGCTATTGGAGCACTGGAATGTTTTGTTAAATTTAGGATCCTTTATTTTGTAGACTTTTATTTTGACAGTTGGAGAATGTTTGAATAAAAATATGGCCGCCTCTCACTTTTTCAAACACAAGTAAAGAAAAGGAAGCTTTAGGAACGTGGGAACGTAAAAGCATACAGTTCTTTACTTTGCTATCAAAACACTATTGAATCAATTGAACACTACGTGGACATTAGTTTTGACATTTAAGTTGTGCCTTTTAACACCCTTTCTTCAATCAACTACCAATTGTTTGTTGGATTACTGGAATCCACCCTGTCTGATACTACCAACCAACAAAACTGCCCGCTGCCTGCCTCGCTCGGCTTATCAACCTACTAGCTACCTGCTGGAATTCCATCTCATCCATCAAAAAAGGTACAATTCAAGTTTCTTTGAGTTGGATAGCTTGTTAAAGAAGTAAACGTCCCAGGCTGCTAGGCTATCAGTGGTCCGCCATCACAATACAGTTCTCCAAGGGTTTGGTTTTCTTTGGATAAGTGTTTTAAAGGTTCTAAGTATTCTAATAAGCTGATTTTATGCTCAAAAAACAAATTATTATTTTCAATGTTGAAAACAGTCGTGTGCCATTTTCCCCCTAAAATTCTATGAATAGAAAGTTAAAAAAAAAACAGCATTCATTTAAAATATAATATTGTAACTTTTGATCAACTTAACTTTAACTCATCCTTGATGAATAAAAGTATTTTATAATTTCTTTCCCCCAAAAATATAAATAAATTCTTACTGACCCCAAACTTTTGAATGGTAGTGATTAATGTTACAAAAGCTTTCCATTTCAGATTAATTCTGTCGAACTTTCTAGCCATCAAAGAATCCTGAAATAAAAATGTAAAAAACTGTTTTCAACATAGATAATAATCATAAATGTTTCTTGAGCATCATATTATAATAATTTCTGTAGGATAATGCGACACTGAAGACTGGAGTAATGATGCTGTAAATTCAGGTTTGATCACAGGAACAAATTACACTTCACTGTATATTCACATAGAAAACCACTGTTTTAAATTGTAATAATATTTCACAATATTACTGTTTTTTTGTTTGTTTGTTTGTTTTTTTTTTGTATTTTGTTTATCAAATAAAGCAGCTTTGGTGAGCAGAAGAGACTTCTTTTAAAAACATAAAAAAATCTTACCGATCTAAAACTTTTGACCGTTAGTGTACATCTCAACGAATTTTCAGATATTTGTTTATTACTTTTTGCCCCCTTTAAAACATTTAAAATATTCAGAAATTAATATGGGAAAAATTTAGATTTTACTGGTTTTCTAAGGCCAAATTAGAACCTGGAAAATGATATTTTTCCCGCAGTGCTGAATGAGAAGAGCCATAACCACAGCCAAAGGGGATGAATAGGTGAGTTATTATTAATGCATCTGAAAAAATAACGAGCTAAAAACATAATCTCCGGATGCACCTTCAGAGAGAACTGCACCTTTTTTTTTATTACATAAATGATGATTTTGACTGAAAATTTGTCCAATTGACTGCACTTTTTTTTTAAAAAGCTTTGATATTTTTAATTTTTGTGACGAGAGAATCTACAAAGTGGCTTGTGAACCCTGGGAGCCATAATCGGTCCTTGAAGATATGAAGAGTGAGTGGAAGAGAGACTTCCACTTGAATGCTGCTCCGGCATAGCACAGGTCAGTTCAACATACTCCACTCTTTTACTTACTCTGTGGCTTTTGCCCTGAAGGTGGTGGCAGACTTTGTGCTCTTATCAGTAGCTCAGAAGATCATCCTGACCTATTTTCAGGGCATAGTGGTTTTCAATTAAAAAAGGATTGATTGGCATTTGAATTTCTAATGTTTAGCAGTTTCAATCGTCTTTAGCATATTAGCAACTTTAGTTCCTGTAAATAAATCTTACAATTTTCGTATTACATTATAGACGAGATTAAACAATTGCATTGTCTTTTGTAGTAGGGTCAATGAAATAAGTGTCAGCTCAATAAAAAACGGAAAATCTTTTTAAAATATTGTTTAAAAACACATGTGCCTTAAGGCCTGCTCACACCAAAGATGATAACTATAACAATAATGATAAAGATATAGGTCTAAAAATCGTTCTTAACACGAAAGAATAGCAGAGTTCACACCACAGCTATAATGATGACGGCACAGAGGAACAATGTTGTTAGAATGACTTTCAGAGCGATTGTATCCAGCTGATGAACGATAAAACATTGACAGCCAATCAGAATCCATCCTGCTGTAACGAGCTCGAGCATTTAAAGTGACAGTATTATAGTTATTGTGCTTGGTGTGAACGGACCTTTTAGAAGTCTTAGAAATGTAATCGTTGTATTAATATTGTTTTGAAACATTTACATACCTTTTACACAAGACCTTAATCCTCTGTTCGGGTCATTTTGAGCCGAAACAGCATTTAATTTTTTTTATATATATATAAATTGAGTGAATAAAACACTGCTTAATATTATCACATTTAAAATTGAATTTCAAATGTGAAATTAAATTCACCCACCTCCTCCCCCTCCACTAAAAAAAAAAACAATATGAAAAAGGGTTAAATTGCCCAAAATAACAATCCTCTAACACCCCTGATCAGATTATTTGTGTATGACATCAATGACAATCTGCTTCCCGAGAACATGGAAATGAGCACGGGTTTCTTGAACAACTGCTTCAGTGTTTCTACCCTCTTTTGGCCTTGCAAATAGCTTTTGTGCCTTTGTAGACAATCTATCAGACATTATCCCTCAGGCCATTTAAAACAACACATTAAAGTCCGTGTTCTCCAAATAAACTCTTTCAAGTCATTATGGAGCTACTCTGGCACAGAAAAGAAGAATCATCATACTGTCCCTCAGTCTACAAATGCCATAAAAAGTTTTAATGGCTGTAGTTACAGAGTCACTTTGCTCAATTAAATATGCAGATTGACAGATTAACAAACTGTTCTCGCACTCACTGATTTCCAGTTAACTCTGATGGTGAAGAGACCAGATATCCATTTTGGAAAATGAGAAGCTGAATAATCCTTTTATAATCATGCTAAACTGGGGCAAAATTCCAAAAGGATATGATCACATTAGGCTTTTTGTAAAACAAGTAAACTACACATCATACTCGACTGGCATATCTAAGAACCCATGAGTCATAGCAACCACCCAAAACACCCTAGAAACCGCAACCAACATAATAATCTACATGGCATTTAAAGTAGTCAAGTCTGCACTTCAAGACTACGCACTGTTAGGCACTAAATGTAAAAATAGATGGGATAGAGCAAAAAGACCTAATTGTTTGTCATCCTGCTAAATTCTATTACTATGTTTCTAACGTTGAACCTTGAACGTAGATGGAGATATATAGTATACTGTAGTAGTATTGTGAGTATCACAATAACAAAGCCTGCTACTGTTAAAATGGTATTTAGAGTAATGCGCAATTTCCAAGATGTTGCTAGTTAGATTGAGTATTTGGCTCCTGTTGGTAGAAAACGATCCCACTTCTAAAGTCGTGATGACGAGCTCATCGCATTCATGTTTTGACTTGAGAAGGGCCTTCATGTCCAATCTTTTATTTAGGAAACTACGATAAGCATGTGAAGGCAGCATTAGTCCTGGGGATTCCTGATCTTGTGTACCAATAACATTGGCACACACTCACAACTTTTTGTTTTGTTTTTGTGACATGCTTAAGACATGCTTTTGGTTCCGCTTTCATTACGTTTGCCATTTGATGTTAGGCAACGTTCAGGTGCGCACGCATTAATGAAAACATCCAACCCGACCTCACGACCAAGTCGTACGAATTCGACGAATGATTAAAAAGTGGCTAAATTGTAACAATTCATACGACCTCACTCGTACGAATTAGTACGATTTTCCTAAATCGTACATATTTTACGAATTGGCCAACTCGTATGGCTTCATACGAACGACTTACCCCTTACCCCACCCCTAAACCTAACCTTCAAGTGGGTTTAGACAAATCGTACGAGTGAGGTCGTACGAATTAGACACTTTAATCATTCGTCGAATTCGTACGAATTGGTCGTGAGATAGTGTTGAAATATCAAGTTAATACCGAATGGCTAAGGGCAAAGTTAAGTTCCAGGACCTGACTAACCTTTGTATTTTTTTAAATGCACAGCAGAAACAGCCTGTTCAATTCTACTGGGGGGAAAAAGAAAAAAAGTGGATGAATCCACCCTAACCCTGGGTCATTTATACAGTGATATTATTAGTAGGGTGTTTCTAGGTGGTTGCTAGGGTTACTAGGTGGTTGCTAGGGTTTTCTGGATCATTTTGTTTCACATAAGGTAAATATTTAATAAGGGTGGTTGTCAACATTGATTGTGCAGTTTTTGTGCAGTTGACGTCACAGGGTTGGTTGGCTGAAGTTTAACAGGCTCTGGGCATTGAAAATCGCGACATCAAACTGTGTTTACACCAGTGTTTTGACCGCGAACGACTAATGTTAGGTACAGGTATTAGACAAAAAGACGACTTCTCATGTTATATGTTGACAAACTGCACATCGAAACATTGTTCGCGATGTCTGCCGTCAGATATTCCCGTCTCGTCAACATGTAAGTTAGCATGTAACGTTATTTGTTAAAGGGGAAATGAAACGTCCATATTTTCGCAGTGGTAGTGCTAGTAGCTACAGCCTACATACTAGGAAAAAGTGTCTCCGCTCTGACATCCTTCAGGGAAAGCATCGCCGCTTCCACACGTAAATCGCCAGTTTATACCAATAACAAGGCTCAAAATACTTCTGAACTGTATGAACGTCATTCATGGTTCGACTTGTCGAGACTGTTTACCAAAGATGGCGCCGCCTCTATTCACGAAGTGCACTGTCTTTATAAAATATCTTATTAAACGGTCTGTACACTTACAAATTTCTCAATGCTTCAGTTTGCATGTAGGGACCCTCATTATGTTAATGGTATAAACTAGCGATTTCTTTTTACTTATTAAATGCCCCCATTACTAGCATTATACGCTAAACAGTTTTTAGAGATAAAACTCTTTACATTCGATTATCATGAAAACAAATCTCAGAGAACGATCGACTAGGTACCAATGTTTAGACCAAAGGTTCATTTTGCGCCGGAGTTCGCACTTCTTATAAAAGCTACTTAAATGTCCCAATTGACCTATGGCTAAGCCACGCCCTCAAATGCGATGACTCAATCACAGTGCGCAGCTAACCCAATACCTTCGGACATTCTCTGCTTCCACGTCCATTGAAATGCAGTGCAGTCGGTTTTCATTCGTTTTTTCTTATCATTTTAAGTTTAAAATAGTTAATCGACGTGCATGGGGTACATGCAACTCCGACACTAGGTTCCCAAGAGGCTGGGAGACAGTGTGTTTTTTTTTTTTTACCCTTTCCCAAGCCACATCTCAACCGAGATAAGTGTCTGCTCTGGATTAAGTTACCTGGTAGACCAACTAAACGTGAATAAATTAAACAAGGATGTCTACATCTGTTTTAAGTTAAGTCAACAAGGTTTTTGAACGTTATCAATAAAATCGCTAATTTAACGTTAGCCTCACATTATAAAACGCTGCGTTGTACACTATCTCACTTAGCTTCATTAACGTATCTGTACATAACCGATTTACATGTTGTGCTGAATGATTCATGTAAATACTGCACCAAATGGTGATGGTTCTGTTATGTGGTTTATCACGTTTACACTGTGACCCAGCCCGTTCTCATCCTAAGGCGTCATATAGTGACGCTTTTGACAATGCGTATACATCCAACGCACATGGCACCCTTTAGCGTCAAATATGAGACACAGATATAAATGGGGCAGAAGGCGCCTCCTAGTGGTCTAACCCTAAATCTACCCATAACCGAAGCGTGTTATATTGACGCTAAAGTGTGCCATGTGCGTTGGATGTATACGCATCGTCAAAAGCGCCAGTATATGACGCCCTAGGATGAAAATGCATTGTATGACCTGTACATTTTCAGCCCCTTCTCACCCCCAAGGCGTCACTTAACTGACGCCTTGGGAAGCATTTGGACATGCTTCAATATCTGACGCTTTAGGCGCCCTTTAGCGTCAGTTAGATGACGCCCTAGGATCGCGTGTACCCTACCCACACCTAAACCTAACCGCGTCCTTTAACTGACGCTTTCCTTTAGCGTCATTTAGATGACGCCGTAGGATCGCGTCATTTAAGTGACGCTAAAGGGCGCCTAAAACGTCAAATATTGAAGCATGGTCAAAGGTGACGCCTTGGGTTGAGAATGCCTTGACATTTTTGCCTGCAGCTGAAGCTTTTCATCGACCTTCTCGACAATAAAATTATTTAGGATATTTAATCTTTCTGTCTCCAAAAATCACCAATTGCGTCCTGTGAAATGTCTCTTACTGTGACAGCTGCAATCGCGCCTGTCCCCGAATGTTGACTTTTTGTCCGAGTGAGTGGAGGGGCCGTGCCTTAGCCATAGGTCAGGCTAATCCTGGCTTAATCTAAGCCCTGTCTGTGAAACCAGGCCTATGTCTTCCACTGACTGACAGGTGCTTCTGTGTATATTTTCTAATTCTGCCTGCTTCACCTTTCCTTGTTTAAATCCATTATGTGCAGCTTCTGCCATTTGGCATGGTGAATTCTCCAGAGTGTCCCAGTCTCACAGGTCTTTAGAAATGTCCCATTACAACCATTTGTCCTGATTGAGGAGGACTTCAATGTCTCTCTCTCTCCCTCCCCCCCGCTACTGGAAGTGCTTGTGCAAGTGCATACTCTTTTATGCTCTACTGATCAACTCTGTCCAGTTTTTTCTTCACTG